ACACACACACACACACACACACACACAAATAAATAAATAAATAAATAAATTTTTTAAAAAAGGGAAAGGAGGCTTAGTGTTCACTGCCTCCTGCTTGCCTTGCCCCTGACTATTTCTCCTCTGGGATGCCCCTCTGCCCTGCCACCCTGTCTTGGACCCAGCCAACCATGGACTGAAACCTCTACACACGGTGAGCTACAATCAACTTTTCTTTCATTAACTTGTGAGTGTTGGGCATTTTGTCCCAACAATAAGAAAGTGAATCAAACAATGTGCAAGAAAGGAAAGTCCCAGGCAGAATACCATTTCCATCTCAGGACAACTGAGCCACAGGTACATCCTGAGTATTACACAAGGCCCCACACCAGCAGATTGTCACAGGAGCGAGTTCTGAGGCTGGATCATCAGTGGTGTGGACTTTCGTCCTGTAGCAAAAAGTCCTTTAGTAAAGGACTTGAAGCCTATTGTCATGTGCTTGGCTTGTGGATAGTAGGGCAGTTTTGCTTTGTCATGCACCACCCCTTCCTTGGACAATAAATTCATGGAGGAGGATGTGTCTGTGATAATCAAGTTGTTTCTTTCTGTTCTGTTTCCCTTTTGTTTTCTCTAAGACTTTAATAAATGCTTGTCAGATGGTCTACCTTGTCACATCTGTGCTACTCAGAAAGGAGTGGTGGGAAAAGTGAGTGAGCATGCACACCGGGGGGCAGTCTCACGGGCAGGGGTCTTTGCCATCTCACTGCCCTTCTCATGTGGATGCTGTCTCCACTGGGAGAGCTTTATGTACATGAAGAGTGACGATGGGGCTGGTGAGATGGCTCAGTGGTCTAAAGCACCTATTTAGAACAAGCTAGGCCAAGCAAAGCACAGGGACCGCGGTTCGATCTCCCAGCACCACATGCCAGCCAGCCCTGCCCCCTGGTGGGCTGAGCTGGCCACACACACGCAAAATAAATTAAAAAAAAAAAAAAAGGAGTGACGATGGTTTCCTTGCAGCTGGGTCAAGCATACGGAGCAATCAGGGGTGGTGTAGCAGGCAAGAGAGCAGATCAGTCCCAGAGGGTCAGAGCAGGTCAGTGTGAGAGGAAGCAAAGGCACACAGTAATGAAATGACTTGCCCAGGGCCACTTGCTCAGGGCCACTTGTCCAAGCCTCTTGTCCAGAGCCATATAGTGACAGTGACTCCTCCACTGGTCCTTTTAGCTCTGCCTGGCTCAGTGAAGAAACCACAGGTATTGTTTTGGTGCAGAAGAAATGAATATGCTGGATCCCAGCAAGCTCATAGGACAGCAAATGCCAAGGCCACACTGTCATACGTTCATACCAGAGAAGAGGTGTGGCTAGAGGGAGCCCAGCAGGAAGTGCACAGTGCATAGAAGAAAGCTGTCCAGCAGCCTTTATACAGACCCTCCATCTGCCAATGCACCTGCAGGTGAGTGGGGTCCAAACTGAGCCCCAAGAAGGGAAGGCTAAAGCCCTGTTGTGCACAAAGGAGACAGGGGTCTCTCTGCAGATAGGGACAGGAGAAGGGCCAAGGCCTCAAGCAGGAGAAGAGTGGGAAGCAACTGCAGGGAAGGATAAGGGTGCTGGTTCATATCCATGGAGACAGAAGGGAAGACATAAGGGTCAAGTAGGGTCAAGGGACTGGCTGTGCCTAGGGCTGGCGACTGTCCAAGGCCCAGATGTATCGCCACCATGGCATCCAGCACCTCCATCTGGGCAGCCTCAGCAGGCATTGCAGGGCTGTAGTGGTGTAGCTCATGACTGCCCAGCTGCGAGGCACTGACTGGGCTGGGCAGCTGCCCCACCGTAACCTGCGCTTTCTCCTTGAAGCTTCCTGGGCTGGCCAGAAGACAACAGTGGCTGTTACAGGAGCAGAAGCAGCCTCTGTGAAGCTGGCACAGGGGCTCCAGAGGGCAGGACAGTTGTCCTCTGGGCCCAGCAGAGCCTGGGGATGGCATGTTCAGTAAGGCCTTATCAGCCCCCTCATCCCCAGATGACTGTCCAGCCTGATGAGCCAAGGCAAAGCTGTGTTTTTGCTCCATTTCTCTGCTCTTGGTCATTTATGCTTTGGCACAAACATGCCACTGCATAACCTCAGGGGTACTGGCACTTGGTTCCTTGTGCTAAACTGTAGAATACAAGGATTTGCTTCTGGTCAGGAGAATTTCAGGTATCAGGTGATGAGAAAGGAAATAATACAAGCAGGAATAGTGAGCAGTGATTAGTGCCTACTCCATTCCCAGGACTCTGTGGCGGAACAGGGCATGAAATCTTCACAAAATCGCCAGGAGGAAGGATGTGCTTTTGGCGTTGCCTCTGGTGTCTGGCCCATGTGTATTTGCTGCAAGGTGGTGACTTGTATGCATTCATACTGCTAATAACAGGTGGCGGTGTGACACCAAGGCTTGCTCACCAGCCCATTTGGGGTCATTTAGGTTCATGTAGAACCTCTGGGAAGTGAGGTACCTGTGAACCTGATGGCTTGGCTACAGGGGTGACCCTCTGGGCACTGTACCCTGGTACAGAACAGAGGTTCCTAGGGCTGCCCCTTTTCCTATGGGCCAGAGTAAAATAAGGTAGAAGTGAGGTGGGGTAGGGACAGGGAGAAGCCTTGGGGTGGGGTAAGGGCAGGGAGAAGCCTCACTTCCACCTGGCGGGTGGGCCTGGAAGAGCTGAAACAAGACAAGGCCTCACTTGCCTTGCCAGAGGCTGGGATGGAAGGTCAGCTCCATCTTGTTCCTCCAGCACCGCCACGGCCTCTGGTGGGGGTGGTGCCCACAGCACCCCTGTCCATGGAGCTGGTCTGTCCTCATGGCTGTTTTTGCTGGACTTTTAGGCTGGCTGTCTCCCACTGTGGACATCCTGATCTCTGGTGTGGTAGAGTGGGAGTGGGCTGGGGCCTGGCTTAGCAGAGCACACTTGTGTCTCACATGGAAGTAAACATTTTGGAGACCCTAATTATATCCCTAGGGTCTAAGACTTTGGTCAACCGAGTCAACTCCAAGGTCTGTGAGCCCTGGGCAAGGCTGAGAGTGGGACCCATTTGTTCGCTTCTTTGCTTTTCCTACACGTTTCTTCCTGTGGCGACCATCTCATTTCTGAAGATGAATAGGGCTTGATTTGAAGGACTGGTAAGGGTCTCGTGTGGGTTGAGAATTGGGATGCTCGCATGTGTCTGTGATGGAGAGAACATTCAAGAAGGAGGTGGAGGAGGGTGGGAGGGTTGAACTCTAAGGATCTCTGACTTTTGCTGATGCGGACAGCGCCCCCTGCTGCCCACAGGGGAGAGGGCAGCTCCAGCTTCCTGTCTGCCGGCTCGGGCTCCCAGGTCCTGGAGGGGTCTTCAGAACGTCTCAGTTCTTCCCTGACTCTTGCTCTCCCTAGGAGTCTCCAGGCTCCTTCAGGAATGTGGCTGAGTGAAGGGTGGGGACGTGTGCTGCAGGCGGTCTGGAGTCGACATCACAGTTTCAAGGGACTGACCTGCTGTAGCTTGGGTCTGGCAGTCACCCTGGGGGCTCACAAGCTCTTGAGTCAGGGCTGGGGCTAAACTTCCGAGAAGGGTCCTGTATGCCCAGGAGGTCAGTCAGGTGGAGGAGGCGTGGGCTGTGTAGTCAGACAGCCCAGACACCATGGTGACACGTGGCTTGCACAAGGGGGCAAGAACACTGAGCATTGGGGCTGGTGAGATGGCTCAGTGGTCTAAAGCACCTACTTAGAACAAGCTTAGCAAAGCACAGGGACCGCGGTTCAATCCCCAACACCACATGCCAG